CTAATAGCATGTATTAGTATTCGTACTCGAACTCGCACTTGGACTTGGTCTCGGTCTCGGTTTTGGACTCAGACTCGGTCTCAGTCTTAGTCTCAATTCCATCTCGGACTCCATCTCGAGTCCATCTCGGGTCCATCTCAGACACCATCTCAGATCCATCTCGAACTCCATCTTGGGTCCATCTCGGGCTCCATCTCGGGTCTATCTCGGACTCCACTTTTGGGGCCTAGGGATTTTGTGTCTCACACAAGGTAGTGGTGATCAAATAGACAAGGTAAGCTAGCAAATTGGAAAAGAAAAATTTATGGCTTACATTGTGTTGCCAAACTGCTGTAAGTAAAAATTTTAGTTGAGAAAAACCTCATATGAAATATGCTTAGTGGCTTTTCCATGAGCACTTTTCATGTTTGTTGTGTCACTAACCTTAGTTTGGAAACAAATAAAAGAGAGAAAAACTACTAAGCATATAAGAACTTCATAAACTGGAAGGATCAAACAGATTGTAATAAGGTCCTTTCTTCTAAGCTTTGTATATCTTAGATTGTTTTAACTTTCAAATATCTTGTCATATTTAGTTTTCTTTCTTCTTGACAACCCGAATCAATCATTATCAATAACATTTTTAGAGCTTTCTCGCAGTCACAGCTCTGAGTGTAAACATGTATGATAGTGTTCCATTACATGATGAATTGTGATTATTATTTCTTGGCTCCAGCTTCTCCCTCCAACCAGTGGTTGGTGGCACTGGAAAATCATTTTTATTTAATACAATTATAATGCATCTGAAAAATACAGGGGAAAAAACTGTGGCAGTGACATGGACTGAAAGTAAGTACACTTTTAATTGGTGGACATACAACTTTTAAATTACCAGTTCCTATTACTGAAACAAGTACATTTGACATATGTGGAAATGAAACTGAGAGGAATAAGATCTTTCTGATAACTTTTTGCACGTAATCTAATGGTTCACACTCACCATATAACTATAGTTTTAAGCTTGTGATTATTCATGAATGTAATAAAAATTATCACCAAATAAATAATCTATTATTCTTTCAGTATACTAACTACCCCAGTGGAGCTGGGATCCCATCTAGTACTCCCTTTACTAGATCTGCTATTTGCATTTAGCATCTATGTGTCATATTCCTTTTTTAGAATATTATTTACTTAATTGGACGGTTACTATTTGATTACTTTCAAACAACTGCCTAAATTAAAACACGTGGCAAAAGGGTTGAAACGTTTCCTTAGACGTTTAAAATTTTTAGGGCGAGCCCGATTCAATTCTCAGTCACCTGGTTTATTCTCCTTTTCAGTGCCAAAAGAAACAACCAAGCTGGGCTCGGACGAGACTTTTGACCAATGCTTTTGGCTATCGCAACTTGTGCTGGTATGTAAGCAAATCTGCAAATCGTTTCCTATCTTTTGTGACATTCATGCATCTCTTTGGCCTTGATGTTGGTACTCCCTGTCCTATTCAAGAGTGGCATAGGCTACAAGTTATGTGAGATTTGCAAATCCTTTCTCAAGAGAATTCATATTCTTCTTCTTTGGCTTTGATTGCAGTAACTACATTTATGAGTTTCTTGCTTTGGATCATCACCACGAAATTAGAGGAGTGCCTCGGCACTTTATGGTCACTGTCTAGCAGCCAGCCTGCTGCGTCCTTCAAGTACGTTAATGAAGCTATGAATTCATGGACATCTATTTTTCTCTAGCAGTGGCTGTTTAAGCTCTTCCAGTTTTTGAACAAGATGCCCACCAGCAACCAAAAGCTCCAAAGATATCAAGAGCATTGGATTGGAAGTGAATCTCATGAGTCTGGCAACACAAAGCTGTCTCGGAAGTATGTCCTTCATATCTTTTCTTTTTTTATCCTTCTCTCTGTTCATTTTGTGGTTTTGTCCTTGACACAGTTAATGTTCTTTAAGCCTGGCAAGTTGAGCATGGGATTGATCATGCACTATTACAAGCTTGCTTAAATCTCCAATTTGTAAACTTCAATGACTTGGTTTTTCCAGATTGGGAAGTTTTACCAGAGTGCATAGATTAAGCTTTAAGCTTGAGAGGGGTGGACAAGCTTTTTTGAAAGTCTCGAGAGCCCAGCCAGAGTGACTTAGATTGTGTCATTGCAGGCAAATTTAGGACAAAAGGACTTTGTGTCCTCGCTCATTGCCCGAGCTCCAGGTTAGCGAGAGAAATTTCACTAAAACTGCTTACTAGATGCTCCTAATCTATTTACATAATTAATGGCACCAAAGAAAATGCCCTGCCTAGGGTTGGCAATGGCCAGAAATGAATCATAGTTAAGTGGCATCACATCAGCAATCTTTCAAAGTTCTCCAAGGCTTACTTTCTTAATGCTGGAAGTGTACAAAATATTCACTTCATTCTTTGAGTTGCTTGAAGTTGCCATGAGGCCTCCAATTAAGGCCAATGCAACATGAGCTTTTATGGAGAAAAGCTTTAGGACTTTGCCCGAGCTCCAGGTTAG